CGCGGGGTCTTTTTGGATTCCGACTTTGCGTCTTGACACGCCACACGTGCCAAGTGCTTGGCGGCGGCGTTGCCGGCCCCTGCCGCTAGGCCTAAAATTCGTTCCTACAGACTCCACACAGGCAAGATTCCTCCCACTCAGTGCAGAGCTATGAGCTAGGTACATGAAGCTGATCAACCGTCACCCCATTTGGTTGCCTACAGTGATGTGGTCTTCCAAGCATGCTGGCTACACGCAGCAGTCATCACACAGTATGCGGTTAGGCCACTCTACATGCGATGAAAGTTGCAGCAGTACAATGTACAAGACATAAAGCGGAGGATGATGGATACTTCCATATCCAGCTTGCTGCAGCCAAGTTGCCCGTTGTCTGCTGGCGACAAGAAGCTCAACGTATTAAAGCTTTTTTGGATAATGCGAGCTGCACGTCTTGGGCCAGCTTCAGGAATTCAGCGGGAGCAAGAAGATGCAAAGCATGGTGAGAGGTCGAGTTCGACTGCTTTATGGGCTCTATGGCAGCTTTTCAGCACTGCATCCGCACCACCCATTCGGTACTGCAAAAGAGCGCACGGCGTGCGTCCAACGACCGCAAGCACATGCATGCATTGTGTACGTAGGTTTGCACTACGCATCACTACGCTCACGCAAAGGAATGACTAGCGTGGCGTCAAAGCTTGCTCCTGCCACCTGGCATGTCACACCTAGACTGATAAATGACATGTGCATGTTGCGAAGACTTGAAGCAGCGCCTCCAAGGCTTTCCAAGCAGGTGATCACTTCCTGCACGTTATGCGCACTGTGCGGGCATAAAGCACTGCGCCTTCCAACCTACATATTGGGGATTGTCAAGGCATGCCAGGACATGATTTGGTGAAGAAGCCCCGACCTCTTTGGTTTGACTTCTCACCTGAAGTCAATGAAGCAGCACCGTTTGCAGCATTCCATCTGGGGGCGTACGAGGCAGCCACAGCCAGCGCAAGTGGAGGAACTGATGACCTGCGGATCAGGCCCGGTCAGTTGGTCCAACATAAGCGCTCGCTAGTGCTCCTCTTTTTCAGAGCTTCGTCCGTCTCCCGAACCACCTGATGTGCAATGATGTGCAGCATCTGCCCAGGAAAGCATGAGATTGTGTGTGATTAGCTGGCGTCCTTGCCTTGAAGCCTTTGGAAATCAGGAGGTTTGCCTTGGGTGCAAGGCATTAGGGCCTTAAACAAGCACAAACTTGTGAACGGTAAAGTAGAGCCGCCATGGGGAAAGCCACGAAGGGATCAACTGACCTGAATCAGTCACGTGTCATGTAAGACTTACCAATGTAAGACAAGCTGGCCACGCTGCTGCAAAAAAGAAGCCGAACACCGACAATTCATTCAGATGCTATTCACATGCAGCAGCTCACACCAACTATGCAAAAGCCGATCCCCTGTATGTTTGATATCAGGCGATTAGCATTAGGTGTGCGCGGTTTAGGCAAGCAAGTTGGGCGGAAGATGCAAATGAGTGAAAAACAGCATCGCATGAAGGCTGGCGTCTCTGTTAGCGGGAGGAGGAATAGTAGCTCCCACAACATGACTCGACTCAGACGCGCATCCAACAGCTGGGGCATCGGAAGGCCCGCAGCCAAAATGCCCACCTGGGCTGAGAGAGCGACACTGAGATCTTCTCCTGCTGGCCCGCGTGCAAGTATATCACGAGATACCTCTCGCACGCGTCAACTCATAGCATATACCCTTCTTGCAGTGCCAGCTGAACATCCTGAAGTATCGTAGCTTACAACATTGGGGTTGCGTCAACTCATTTTTTGACAGGAAGTCACAGGAAGGCATGCAAGTGGTATAGCGCACGGCAGCAGCAGATCATACCTTATGGTCAAGTCGGCACAGCTAGAATGCCGCAACCCCCTTGACTCAATTGTCACACATAGGTTCGACCACATCATGTGCTGCCTGAGTGCCGGACACGTAGTTGCTGTGCGGCGCGTTCGAGCCGCTTTGCAATCTGCCACCCGTGTTAGTTCATGGATGAAATTACATACGTTGACTCACGAATCAAAAAGGCGCCCATGACAAAGGGCAAGTCTGATATTGCCGTTCTCACATTCGCAGATCACATCTGCGCCGTGTTGTTTGAGATGTACTTGGGCGTTGATCCTGTTGCCCTGGAATGATGACCCAGCGCGCCGTTCTCTAGAGCTGTGCGCTACACTTTGCATTCGAAAGGTGTGCTTCTGCAGCTCGACAGGTTACAGCGGACTTTGGCGGAACAGCTACATTGCAAAGAATAGGTGGTTCCTTGGTGATCCCATTCGAACCCCTGCCTTCATAGGAGCCTTTCCGAGGCTGCCCCTGCAGCTTTGCGTCCGATGGACCGCTGGCCCTGTAGCCACTCGTTCCCTGCATTGTCCATCCCTGTTGTACAGGAGGCCCTGCAGGAATGAGCACTTGCGGGGCGAGGCAACATGGCAATGATGGGCTTTTGAGGCATGACATCGGTTTTAAAGTCTCAGGCGCAGGAACAAAAACTTACCAACATCTGCTCTCTGCAAGCACCCCTCAAGGCAGGCCGATCAGTATAACAAGAAACAACAAGCAGAAACCAAAAAGAGGAAGTCAGGAAGGAACCCCACACAGGAATGCCGCATGATGAATCACCGCACTCATTTGTGGTGAGCCTGATCTTGGTGCCTTTCTACTCCACTGACTGATTGCCATCAACATTGACAAGATTGACTGGTTGACAGCACCCGTGTCTTGCATTGCATCAAGCAGTGCTTGACTCCAATGATGCTGACTCCTCACAGGCCTTCTGGTGGGAGAGTCCCATCTTTAAGCCCCAAGACTACAAACGGTGACCCCCGTCAGGTCAGGTGCCCTTTGGTAGGGGAGTCCAATTTCAATCAAGCTTCTGAGGGCTCGAAAACGGTTACCTCCTCGCGATTGTGGGGGCATGCGCTGGCATTTGGCCCGTTTGGGGAGAGCTGCACTTGGAGGCTCAAAAATTGCAAAACCTTGACTCCCTAGTAGGTGAGAGCCTCTTGGTGACATTGCTAGGCTGAGAGTCACAACAAGCGATAGCAGAACAGAGCAGAACTTCATGAAGGGCTCCAAAGCAATGAGAGAGCAACAGGTTCGTGGCAACAGGTTGTGAACGTATCCTTATGGGCAACGCCAACCTTTATTGACTGGGTCTTTTGACCGGGAAGGGCAAGAACTCACCATTGCTCAAGCTCGCCTTGGGATACGAAGAAGGAGCGGTGGCATTTCATTCAGCTTGCCTGCAGAGACGACTCGTGACTGCTTTAAAGCTTGCACTGCAAGTGGAGCAAGATGGAACAAGCCTTGCAATTCTTGCAATGCCAGCTTGGCCACCTTGACATTGGTATGTGTTGGACTCTCCAGGGCAGATTTCGCCATGCCTCGGATTGAGAGCGCCTCAGCAGCTCTTGCGCCAAGTCAGCTGGAGCCATGATTAGGGTATGCTACGGTACAACGCTACAACGTATACTGCGACAAGGCCGAGGTGTATCAGCCACTAATGCAACGCGCTGTCCATTTGAGAGTGACAGTTTTGCTTGATTTGATGTACCGTGTGCTTTGCTTGCAGACATGCACTGGCTACACATGACTCTGAAATAGGGCGTTTCTCTGCATTGGGCAAGCGTTCAGCATGCGCGGTAGGCAGGCCTCAAGCAACTGCATCCTAGTCGCCGCTATGGGGCTCAAAATCTACTAGCAGGAAAACCGCGAATCTGGAGAGCAAGACCACCCTGGCGGCGCTTTGGTAGCACATTTGTTTATTGTTCTGCTTCCGTTACCGCAGCAGCGTCACTTGGACGGAGCTGGGCACTCACATCTTAATGAGTGAGACATTGCGTGAAACATAACATCATGGTACTCGCCAAGCTCTGACCCACAAGTAGTTAAAGCGCAAGCCGCAAGCAGCCTGTCTCGCCGAACCTTTGCATTGCAAATTTCGATCACGCTGACACAGCTCAGACAAGAGACGTGCGCACTGTCAGGCTTGCTCCAGGTCCTTCATCCTCAGTGCTGCAAGATGCAAAGCTGAGAATGGTTGATGAACCAGACAGCCTGACTGGCTAACCTCGCTTTACATTGTGCCATAGCCCAAGCCTATCAAAGCAAGGCTTGCTGCGGTGATTTGGATGTGATTTGTGTAGAATTCAAGTACGTAGGTTGGCGAGAGATGGTCCGATTCTGAGGCAACATGCTCAGCCCAAACCCTGCTCAATAGCTTCCATGTCTGGCAACTGGACAACAAGAATTGCCAATCACAGCCTGAGCTTCGAAGGGGAGGGTACCACATACTTTGCAAGTTGCTGAAAGGCAGCGCTGCTGCAGCTGCCGATGCCGTCTTTATCAAGATATGTGAACACCTGTGTGACTGGACCGAAGTAACCCAGCGTTTCCCAAGCTTCTTGCCACTCCTCCTGTGTCATCATGGCAGCACCGTCGCTTAAGGCAGCCCAAGAACTCGCCAGATCGCCGAAAAGCCGCTGACTGAAAATCACAGTCTCTCGAATGCAAAGCTCGAGGTCCTCACAGAACTGGCTCGAATTAGGCTAGCTTGTACAGAAAGTGTGCAGACAAATGATTCGGAAGTGACAGAAAATTTCAATTCAACCACTTGCAACTTTCAAGCAGGCCTTATCAGTCCCGTACATACTTTTTACAGTTGTTGCAACCCCCGGTCGAGCCCAGGATCTGGTCGCTTCCGCTATCTCCACCCCAGCCCCAAATAGCTTGCAATGACAAATGTTCATTGCCCTCACATCAAAAACAAATACAGACATTGTTTTCGCCCGACACCTTGACGCCAAAAGCTCCAAACTCCGAGCCCTGATCCCTAAAGCGGCTGCGCTCCAAAATGCAAGCCCCCAAGCTTGATCTGAGTTCGTCATACCGGAATGGCCGGCGGTTCTGACCAAGGCTAGCGGCTATTCATACTGCACGGGAGGTTTGTCAACCCTACCAACCCTGGCTTGTAACCTCCAAACGCACTCTGCATAAAACATCTCAATCTAAACCAGGTAGAAAGATTGTTTAATCACCAAACGGCAGTTTCAGTTAAGGCATTTTCCAATCACCAACGACATTTTCAAGCCACCAAAAAAAGAATTTTGAGGTCACCAGATCAAGGATTTTCAGGTCACCATATAGGACTGCCTGAGCTACCTAAGAGGCGCCCGAAACTCACCCAATCCTTCCCTCCTGCGGGTGACCTGGGCCGCTGGACTGATCACGGTAACATGATCGCAGTATGGCATTGGGTACAAAAAATGTCGTTGCCCCATCTCAACTTAGAACCCGACCCCTCCTACCCAACTACCCCCCCGAACCTAGCACGACTTTACCCACCCCACCCTATGCTCACCACACCACACTCCCCACCCAAACTACCCCCCACCTTGCACTACCCACCACCCTACCCTACCCGACCTCGCTAGCCACTCACTACCCCAATCTACCACCCTAACCACCCGAAACCAGCCACCACCCTACCCTAAACCCCTCCGCTCCCGCACTACCCCTAGCCTACCCAAGCACGCACCACCTGGCATACCGCAACCACCCACCACCCTGACCTAGGCTACCCTACCTGGCTTACTGTACCGCCCGCCACTCAACCCTGCCCTTGCACCCAAATGACCTGCTCTTCGCTAACCTAACCTAAACGCACCGACCATCACCACTAACCACCTACCCACCACTCCACCCTACCCTACCTCGCTAACCACCTCACCTAACCTGCCCCAACCACGCCCGTTTGGTGAATCAGACTGAAGGCTCCACGTCGGCATCATGTTGGTGATCCTGGAGCCCTTTTTGGTGAACCAAAACGCTGTTTTGGTGAACTAATTTACGTTTTGGTGACCGAAGATCTTCTGGTGATCGAGTCAGACTGGCTCCGTCTAAGCCATCTGCGACTGCTGAGACTATCTTGCAAGCCTTCGTTTTGCCCAAGCTTAGGGGCCCTGTATGTCGAAGGGCACGCTCCCGGATGAGCGCAGGGGATGAACAAATGAGCTGAGTGTTTTGATCGCTTTCGACTTGAAGGATCCACCTGCGTCTGCAATAGCAGTTAAAGCTTTGCTTACAATCCCGGAAATGCCATCTGGTAGATTGCCCCATTGCTCCACTTAAAAGTCGGGTGACAGCTCCCGCTGTTGCTTTAGCCACTACGCACCATTGACTTTCAAGCAGCAGCGGCAGCAGCATCGCATGAGTTTGCAGCTGCTTCCAGGGAGGACACATGCTATCAGAGTTCACAGCTCCCGGAGTTTTGATTTTGGAAGCATGGCTTTCACCCCCAAGGCGTGTCAACTCACACCTCAGCTCAAGGATTTGGATGATGGAGGACGGACACGGATGGAAGGGTCACGCCCAAACAGTGTTGATAAACTCCTGGGGCCTGACCTCACAGAAGAGGGTAAAATTTCGGGCTTGAGACCTTAAGGACTCAAGAATCATTGAACGCGGACCATTTTTGCTGGGCGGCTTGACTATGATAAAATCCTGCGGGCCTGACACCTGCAAATGACCAGGAGGCAGAATCTAGCCGGCTACAATAAATCTTGAGGCCTGAGCAAGGGATTTTATCCTGGGCATGCATGTGCGACCCCTATTCTGATGTAAATCTCGCGTGAGGTAGCGCGGTTTGGGTGCTGCAGGTGAATTATTCCAGGGGCTGCGAAACCAATTTGGGGTCTGAAGTCCCCCAAGACGAATGATCCTCAATGAGCCGACCGATGTGCCTGATGGTTTAAATGTACCAAATGGCTGCGCATCGTCGTCGTCGTTGCCGCTGTGGTCATCCTAACTTAACCTAGCCTAAACCCAAGCCCAGCTTCATGTGTTCTGTTTGAGCTGCTTTTGTCGCCTAAGCATATTGAGCCGTGGGGTTTCACACCTCCAAGGGTCTTTGGTGCTGTATCGGTCTCTTGCCCCATCCATGCCGAAGAATTAATCAGGCCGGGCAATGAATCTTGAGATGACTTTTAGGTCACCGGCGCGGGCTGGCTGAGGCAGGCGGGCTAGCAGTAATATTACCCGAAATGGTTATGTAACCCTGCACTGCACAAAAAAAAAAACACTATGAAATGGTTGGGTTGGAGCCAGGACCTCTGACCTTACCCTTTCTTAGCGACTTCTATGGAATGCGGGGTCACAACAGCATTTGCCTCTGAGTGCAAAACCCATTTCGTAAAGAAAGCTTGGGATTTAGATTTGAAGCAGGTCGCGCCAACCATTTCATGGAGAGGTAACCAAGAATTTGATAGCGGTACGCCGGTGCATCCCGGTGCAGCGGTCCATGAGGAAGGCCCAAGCTGAAGCGAAGTGCCGCTCTTGAAATTTAAGTTTCTCACAGCAACGCGTTGGAGGCCTAATAGAACAGGCAATTACTCCCATTTCCCGACCAGGTCGTACTAACCATTTCATAGAGGAGCAGCGCTTGCATTTTTTAGGGGAACGAGTCACAGCTGATCTCGGGAGGCACTTCTTCTACCTTTAAAGGAATGGCCTCGCGAGATCATCAGTGACCCGTGCCCCTCAAGGGCTTTTCAAGGCGGCACCGGGGAAACACGCAGGGTGGGTTCACAGGAATGCAGGGCATCATCCCCATCAGATACCCCAGCATTGGTCCTTCGATGAAAGAGGGGGTTGGGCTATGTTGGGCTTGTAGTCACTTCCTGCAGCACCCCCCACCGTGGCTCTATGAAATGGGCTTCCTGGGGACAACCTTTTGGATCCTTTTGGGGCCGTCGTCTAGTCCCTGCCCAGGTGTGTGTAGAATGGGTTTCTATGAACTGGCCAGAGCCATATCACAGAGACCTCGGTCCCCACCGTCTGATAGACAAATGCGGAACGGCAAGCCTGAATCTTTATTACCCGGTATGTCTCAAGATGACCGTCCCTTTCGCGGCTCGTGCATGTTGTGCTCCGCACAACCTGTCCGAGCACAAAAGCGTCGCCGGTATGGGTGCTAATAGACCAGCTTGATGTTGGCAAGGTCCCATGCATGAAGACTTGCATAGCACTGAGCCCTCGGCATCCCGACGAAGCGCGGTCCCTACATGTCCCTACTACAAGTTCGAGCTCCTGAGAATGAACCTGTTTCCTGAAGCGGTCCCACTCAGCGTTTGAAAGCTTGCCATATCTAAGCTTAATACATGATGGTGATGGCGGGGGGGTTTTGGTTCTCAACCATGGCTGGGTTGTTGTACGAGTGTCTGTCGTATGGGGCTTCTAGTTGTCCAGTTGTGACTGTGCTAGCTTACAACTACATCTATCTAACGTTTCGTATTTGAAGACCATGTTGTAATCGCTAAAGGCGATTCGTCACTACACGGTTGGTCTATGCTCATGCCCATGGATTGCAAATGAGCAGATTAATCATGCTGGCTGATGTCCTGCTCCACATACCGCAGGCTGTCCCAGTCTTTCATTGAGATCTTCCCTTCAGAACGCACATCAATGAAGCGAAACACACTCTGGAATCGCTGCTGCTCGCCGGGCCCCTTGAACTTTGCAAATCCCAATCGCTTGCATCCATCTTCAAACTCGCGGCTGCTCATCTGTGCTTCAGGATCCTTGTCTTGCCTCATTTGGGCAAAGGCAGCGGAATGCTCCCCGCAGGTTGCTATCATCCAGGTCGCAAGCATCAGGACGTCAGAAGGCAGCTTGCTTGTGAAGTTGTAGAAGTATATGTCTTCTTCTGCGAATTCTGACAAATCCCAACTTCCCATCTGTTCGGTGAGATCCTTTCTGACTTTGAAACTGCGCTGGTCGGCTCTACACACATACTCCGTCTCGAAGACTCCGTGTTTGGGCACGTTGGACATCTGCTCCCAAGACTTGGGCACTCCAAGCGTCAGGGGGTCCACGACACCGTCTCCGGAAGTAAACAACGGATCCTTGATATTTGAGGGACTCTCTTTGCTAGACAGCTTCAGAAGCGAGCTCACCAATAGCCGCTCATCAAAGTTCTTGAAACTGAGATGGAGATGTATCTGTTCTGGTTGTAAGTAAGGAAAGCTTGCCGTATAGCCAAGCCGGCACAGCATGGAAGCGGATGCATCTTCACCCAGTCTCATACGCACAACTTTCTCATTCTGTACATCAACCATACGATTGTAAAACAAAGTAAATGCATCGCATCGGGAGGTCTCCTCCTTGAACAAGTCCACAATTTGCCGCAGCTGCAGGCATGTCACGTGAATTGTGTGGGAAATCTGCAGTAACGCCTGCAGCCTGCAACGAGCGGGGGAGCGTGCAAACTGAAGCATGGCAGACATGATCATCTCAAACTGCGTATCCTTTATTGCTTCACCTTTTGGTCGCCGAGAACTGCTGTAGTCTAGCACAAGAACATCGCTTTCTGCGAGAATCCAATCCGTCAGGCTGCAAGGAAGGGGGCAGTTTGCATGCTGGACGTTGCGCGCATGAGAGTTGTTGCCCAGCTGTGAAGTGTCCATCCGGCCTTCTCGGCTTCGTAGCGCCCCTTCCCAGTTATCCAGAATTGCCAAGCTGTCAGCAACACCATAATCGATTGGATTTGACATGTCCAACGAGTAGTGACCAGTCGGATTGTCAGCATTGATCGCATATTGACGTGCGGACCGCTGAAGCATTCTGACGTAGTCACAGGAGTTGGGAATAAGACGCTTTCCCAAGAATGCCTGCAGTGGGCTTTCCATTGGAGTGCACTGCAGGCTTGCCATGACATCCCAAATCTGTGCACGGTCTTGGCACATCACCGCCATTTGGGCAAAACTGAGACGAAAATCCTTGGACAGAGCATCGATCATGATGCTTTGCTCTTCTCGACGACCTTCCATGCGTCGCCACTGAGCCAGTAGCGCAACTTGCTTCGAACGACCAGGAAGAATCCGCAGGAGATTAGCATGACACATAAGCACTGCACTGAAGTCCAATGGATCCGAGCTACCCATGGCCATGGCTCTGTCCTCTAGCACCTTGTCCATTGTAAAGGTGACCTCCAGCATACCAAACTGCGGTATGGAAAAGATTCCAGCCGAGTTTTTTGATGCATGGCTGTACGCTGGCGAAGATGTCATGTCGCGGAACGTCTGGTCCAAAGAGACGTTCAGTCGCTCGGCTGTTTTGTACAGCATTCGCAGTAATGTGCGGTCATAGGGCTGCGCCAAATCAAGCTTGTACCGCCCATGTGGACGAGAGGCGCGGAAGATCTGCATATCCGTGCGAGCTCCGACAACAGTTCCCTTGCTGCAGTTCTCAAAATGGAAGTACTGCAGGCCAGATGTTTTCCTTGCAAGCAATCGCAGCAAACTTCGGATGCCTAAATTCCCCAATCCATTATGCGAGACGTCCATCTCCGTCAAAACTGTATTGTACTCGAGAGAGTCCTCAAGCAGAAGTCCTGCGCGAAAGTCCAAATAGTTTCCTGATATGTTCAAGAGCTGCAAGGATGTGTTCTCACCGAGATGCTCGAGCAAGTGCACCATGGATGAGCTCCATGGCGACTTCTTGGACAATGTGGAACAATGGGCCAAATCCAGCTTCTCGAGCGTTCCCAGCTCAATCAGCTTTTGTCCCAAAAAGTCAAAGCCAAGAGCACCAAAGCAATTCCAGCTGAGATCCAAGTGCAGTATGCTCCTGCTACTGAGGAGTTCCACCAAGCACACCATAGTGTTGTCATCCTCGTCTCCTGAACATCTGGTTCCAAGCCCGGTGTCTGCCAAGGACAGGATTTTCAGGGAACCATGGTTGCGAATCGCCTTGCACAAAGGAACCTGCCAGTTGACGCCCAGCGCTAGGCCTGCTAGGTTTAAACTCTGTAAGTTCTGCATACTGTTAGAACCTAGCAGTTGGATCAGGCCAGCAAAAGCCTCATCCTGAACGACATTTGGACAGCCCGCCAGGCTCAGCTTTTGCAGATTGCGGCCGCGGCCGCCAGAGACCTTCGGCTCCTTGGGCTCCTTCGAATCTGCGAAGTAAGCAAAGAGATGCAGGAAAGCCCGCTCAGAAATGGAAGCATTGCCTTCCAAGTCTAACTCCCGCACAGGAGAGCCCATCTCCAGCATCTCGCAGATTGCCAGGAGGTCGCGATCGGAGAGGCCCTGGGCTTTGGCATTGATGCAGTCAGAGTGTCCAGTTACGAAGGGATCTGTCGAGGGCAAGAGGCCTTCCCGGTTGCAGGCGCTGAGGTACTGTTTCGTGGAAAGTGATTGGCTTGCAAGCTGACCGATCTCCCAAGGCCGCTGGAACTTGCCTTTGTAAAGAAGAGCAGACTCTTTTGGGCTGTCCTGGATGCTTGGAAGCAAAGTCGTTGGCGCCATTGCAGAGCTGTCAGGAATGAGTTTGGGAAAGATCTCCTTTTTATCTCTGACATAGCTGCCCAAGCCGCAGGCATCTTTTGCCACCACCAGCTTCGGGTCTGGATGGTTGATCCTGGAAGTTGAAGCAGACTTTGCAATCGCATCCTTGACTGTCAAGGGTGGCTCCTTCAAAGCTGGCAACCAATTCCATGAACCTGCGGAGCAATGGCTGCGAGCGCCTCGAGTCTTCCATTCTAGGTCTTTCAGGCTTTTGGAGCCCTTGCTCAGGGGACTTGGCACCAGCGCCGGCAAAACAACATCACTTGAAGTGAAGCTTTTCACATCTAGTGGAGTGCCGAGGCGAGAGGAGTTATGGAACTGTGGCCAGAAGTCTTTCAAACGACTGTGGCGATTTGACGTTGATTCGGCTTGCTTTCTTGCCTCTTTCCTGTCTATGGTTTCCTGGATGTTCTTCTGGAGGAGGTGCAGGCTCACGCGAGTTCTTAGCAACCTTGCGGCGCGCAGGATCCTGTACACCTCCCGCACCACCTCCCAGCAATTGCGTGATGTTGAATCCTGGTCTGTAGCTAATATGTGTGTCATCTTCCAGATGAGCTGCTCGCGCACCAATGCCTGATCTGCAGTTGTTTGTGCTGCATAGTCGGTGGCCAAGATGCGCCGGACAAAGGACAGTGGGTCAGCGGCAAAGTTCGCTAGCGATTCCTCATCGCGCAGCAAGCCCCGACGAGCCACCTCACGAAACATGTAGTCAATGAATGGGCCATCATCGTGCCTCTCATCCTGCTTTACACATGCACTGACCAAGCGGCTTCGCCGTCCCATGGCCAAACATCTAATTTCTAAGGCAAAACATCCTGACGCCTGGTGTTGAGAAGCAACGGTGCAGCCATGTCTTTGCCATTTCGCTGCTCTGTGGAGTATGTGGAGTGAACTATGCCTCACCATGATACCTAGCATTACCTAGTATCCTACCTAGTAGCTGGCAATTCCTCCTCCTTGCTGCAGCTGCTGCAGCTGTGAAAGCAACGGCAGCATCATCATAATCCTCCTCATCCACCAGCGCCACCGCCGCCCCAACTGCTCTCACCCACACCATCACCGAACGCCGTCACTGAATGTCACAGCCACCAAAAAACACCGCTGCTCCAACACCGTGCCCGCCGCTGCCACAGCCGACGCCGCCACCACCACCAAGGCAGCATCCTGCGCATCAGCATGGCCTCCATCAGCAAAGATCACACCTGCACCATCGGTCAGTAGCTGCGACTGAAGCAAAAGCGACAGAAAAAGAAGCAGAAGGAGCATCCCCGAAAACTACGACCACGATACAGCTGCTCGACAAACGGAAAATGGTGACTGCATCCACAACATGCCCATCAACCGTGTCTGACATATTTTGTGATCGAAGGTGTGCAGTTGTCCAAGAATAGCAGACATGAAAGAAGTTGCAGAAGAAGGGGGCATGAGCTACTTCTAGTGCTGTGTGTAACGGCTTGCTGTCACAGATAGTGGGCAGGCATCCTCTGTAGTTGGTAGGTATGCCGAAGCAATCCCTTTGCTCGGTCGCTATCAGTCTTGGACAGTGAATACAACACGCCAAGACGAAAACATGTTTTTTTTCCGGTCATTGCTAGTACCTGTAGTTCGCTTAAAACATGCACGCCCAACACAGCCAGCAAAGCACTTCTTTCCAAGGCTCAGCCACTTATTGTCTAAGCCTCTCATTTGAGCAACTTGGCGCTGGCTATCATTCGTCCTGCAAGATCTGCAAGGCATGGCACATGTCAGGCGGCAAACGTTCCGTCTATCAAGGGCCCAAGACTCCTTCAGAGGTCAGGGTTTGGGCATTATCGGGTGTGGTGCCCAAAAATAAAACCCAAGCGAAAGTCCTCGGGGAGCTTCATCCAGAGATTCCACAATGAAAGCCCGAACATCGTCTTTTCCGCGGGGGACAAGTCGCGGGTGGCCAAAGCCTGGCAGCTGTGAGAGCTTGGCAAAGCTTCGCCAAGAACATGCTTTTTCAGCCCCGCCTGATCCACCTGCCCATTTTCTGAGGGTATGGTTCGGAATATGACCTGAGCATACCTGAGCCAAATCATACTCACAGCGCAACCACTGCATACCCAGCATGAATGAATGAGGCCTTGCGTCTATGCTGGCGGTGACCTGGACAGCTTCCATTTTTTTCTTGTTCATCTTGTTCATCGTTTTTATGGACAGAAATAGAAACCCACCTGTGGAGAGTGAGCTGAAAAAGGCGCTGCTTCGGGACATACCTGGCTGCGGGTCTCGCTTTTGGGCAGAACCCAACAAGTCAAAACAGGCAGCCCCTAACAATGCCCGGCTGACACCATGCTGGAGGTCTCACTTCTTCCACGCCAGCGGGAGTTCACCTGAGATGCTCGTGCACTTGACCTGATGCCCCATTTTTTTTTCTCAATCGTCTGCGGACACGGCATAGTAGTTCTGCAAGGATGCATATCCTGGTCCATCCGCCTGGAACACTGGGAGGGAACAGGCAGCAATTTAAAAGCCGCCAGAAGGTACCAATAAACGGCAAGAACGGTGCCTCCTCCAGCCATGCGACAAGCACCGCCAGGATTGGGTCCGGCAGCACCGGTGGCGCAAGCTCCTGGGCTTCAAAGCTCAGACGAGCATCACACAGATCATGGTTCTGCGAGTAGAACGATGTAATGAAGCAGCATGTGTTAATCCAGACACTGAATTGCTGTCAGCAGTGGATGATCAAAGGGTTTGATGAGGGGGCTCAGAGTCGAGGGAGCCCGTGATGTGTCCGAGCCATCTCCCCTTGGCATCCCTTGGCAACCTGCCCGACTGCCCTTTCCTGACCAAGCCTTCCCAGCGCATTACGTACCCATATCCCGGCCGTCCGGCCGCGGTGTCTGCAAAGCGTCATCCAAACCTCAACTTAACTGTCCAGTCGATGCTGGCATCCAAACCATCAGCTTGCCAAGCGGAACCGCTTTGGGGACCCGTCAGGCAGAGACCGTCAGATCAGATGTGACGAGCCGCATGCAGCAATGCAGGTGCTCCTTATTACTTATGCAGCTGTCCCACGAATCAGCTGGCCTCCCATGACCTTTCTGCTCAGCATGTGGAGCGACATTGGTCCGCTCCATTAATGATTTATGTTCCGTCATGTCCCACACCCTGGATCAAAAAACTCATTTACAAAAATGTACAACTCAAGCTGTTTGTCGGCTTACAGGCTTCAACCTCAAGCATGACAGTGACAAGCTCTCTGAAGCGACCCTCAGCACAAGATGCACAAGTAGAGCTACCTGACTGGAGGTGGCCCTGCACTCAGCACTTCACGCTTGTGCCCGCATCCTACATGAAGTTTTGAAATCTTGCCCTTTCTAGCGGGTGACAGCCGATTGGAGCGCCTCGCATCCAAAAGCAGGGTTGGGACTCTGAACACGGTCTACCAAGCCTTTCGAGACTGCAAGCCTATGTTGCTCCTCTGAGGGCCTGGTGACATGTTTGAGGCTCATGCAACCGTGTCTTGCGAAAGCATTGGCATGTCTCCTCCGACAGCAGCAACTGCGCGTCCACGAACGGATCGCCTGCAAGGTCACCCGTATGTGCGTGTGGGGGCGTCTGACAAAGCCACGAGCAAATGAGCGATACAGTATACAGTATACAGCATACGTGATCAGGCGTTTATTTGTCGAACTAACTGTCGCATCCTGCCAGCCAGTCTTTCCGTCGTAGTTCATCGGTGAACGGATTGCCCACGCTCCCGCCTTCAACCAATATTGGCAGGACCAGCTCTTCACTGCCACCTTCTCCCCAAACTTCGACCAGCACCTGCTGCTAAAAGCAGTCAAGTCGGGGGAGGGCATTGTACTGCAGTAATTTCTGGCTAGGTTTGATGACGCAGTTGAGCTTTTGCTTAAGCCTGCCGTGTGTAGTTGCCTGCATGCATTCCTGGAATCTAGCAGGACCATTCAATTTGGCAAGATGCGCACCTTTTCCACGCAATGCTGCTCAGGCAGATTGATTCTCGTCGGCAAGCTACCCAGAAATGTTGTCCCAAGAACTGGGAGACTGGAGGTCTCCTACAGCACGATAAGGTCAACATTCACCTCTTCGTGTCCACATTTATTTATTTTTTTGGGGGGGAGGGGGGGGGGTGGCACAGGACGTTTGAATTCCTGAGTCACGCTTCCTTCTGTTGTCATTGATCTTCTGTACATGTGCATCCTTTCACATCCTCTTACATGGCATTCTTGCAATGGTCAGCATGATGTGTGCAGTGGCATTTTGTCATGTCATCAGGATAGCTTGGCACACCACGCGCCATTTGGAGGTACTTTGCTTTAGGGTTTCAGCTCCTCTTTTGGTAGTGAATTACCTCAACTTCAGTACCTTGTTATTGGCCCCGTCGGCCTGTAACGGCGCACAAATTGCGTCCTCGCCTGAGCCCATTTTTGCTGGCCATTGCAGTATTTGGCGCACATTCCAAGGCTTG